AGGCTCAGAAGAAAGGCAAGAGGTTTTCCTGAAGCTCATGATATATAACCTGTCCTATAACCTGGCACCCATGATAGAAGTCCAGGCTTTGACTTGAATCCCTAACCCCTCTCCAGACCTCTCCAGCAGATGAAAATGGTTAGTGTGGGACAGTGACGCTCCTTGATCCCAGGAAAGGTCATCAGTTAAGCATGCTGATGACAAAAGATTGCACTCTTGGCTTTTCCCCAAGCACAGCATCTCGGAGACATGTCAGCCCGTGTGTCAAACACCAAGGCACTTCTGGGTGTGGAGGGCCAGGATCTGCACTGCCTGGGGACATCCCTGCTGAAAATACTGAATTTGAGGGGGCAGTGAGTTTCATGCATCACCTGCTATGTATTGGTGCAGCACCTGCTGTTGAATGGGGCGGGCATGGCTGGACACATCTTTAAGAGCTGTGATAAGCTGATCCATCTGGAGAAGCTCTGCTCAATCTTGATCAAGATGTGACCTCACCAGTCTCTTCCTAACCCATGTCCTACTTGATTTTGGGCACTCTCATTCCAGGGCAATCTGGATCTTCTCCTGTTAATATGACAAGACCACTCAGATCATGCTTTGGCTTTAGGAGGTTGATAGAAAGTCTTTGTTATTTCCGCTCATTTGCATGTGACCATCAGGGAGCCTCCAGGAGATTGTGGAGGTGAAGCACCATGTGATTTATCTGGTTTGTCAGAACCATGGCAACATTAGAGGGCCTCCTTACAACTCCTGCAGAGCCATCTCCATCCATGTTTTAAGCAAGGACTAAGTTATTGCTGAAGCTCCTCGATTTACTGGATGGGCTCTCCATCCCTCTGGAGGGCACTCTGTGAGGAGCACCTGCTCTTATGGACTGGTTTGTCACTGCTTGCCCCCAGGGAACGTACCGTTTGCAGCATTTGTGCAGCATCGCTACCAGGGCACGTGATCCCTTACAGCCAGGGCAGCTGAAGAATTTATAGCCAGAGAGAATGGAGGAACTCAGAATGGGGCTGCTCCCCAAAAAGGCTGGCTGAGGAGGTCTTTTCCTTTGGCTGAAGCCCTGCTGCCCAGCCAAAAGCTCTTCCTTGGGCTGAGCTGCCCTCTGTCTGTGGTTAAGAGATCCTCTCTGCAGTGGTCATGGTCCTGGACTGCCAGGCAGCAGGACCGGTCCGTAGAGGACCTTGGGTTTCTCAGGTGAGAAGTAGGGGCACACCCGGATTTTCAGTCAGCAGTGAGCGGTGCTCGGACACGTCCATACTCTTGCTGTTGTGTTAAAACGTGATGTAGGAGATAGTGCAAGTGTGAAGGCATATCCCATGTGAATGCTGAAGTAGCCACATGCCTCCAAGATGAATTGTCCAAGGTAAGAAAAACCGAATTACTTGTCAGTCGCTTCTGGCTGTGAGGGAGATGTCTCTACAGACAGTAGAACAGACTGAAGGCATGTTCAAATATCTTAATGAGGGATGCCAGCAGACATCATGTTTCTAAGTGTGTAACTGAGGAGCCAAGGGCTGGCTCTGTGATGGTCTGTCCACCATGACTGTGCTTTTGTTTAAATTGGGGGTTGTTCAGCACACACTATAAGGTTTCCCACTTTCTCACTGAAGTAGAATAAACACAACCCTCCACAAATCAAACAAGATGTGTTTCCAGTTTGGAGAAATCCCATCTTGGCTCAGTGCCTTGTTAAAGAGATCCCTGGGAACGCTGCTTTGGGGGACACAGGGTCAACGCAGCGGGGAACATCGAGTAGCCAAGGAGAGGCAAGGCATTTTGGCTGGCATGAGCTCAGCAGCTGCTGTAGCTGAAAAAAAGAGACAGAAAAGAGGCATGCAGGGCAGTGAGGAGAGACGGACAGATTGTGGGATAGAAGAGGAGGTGGGTTAACCTTTGGTTAGATCCACTGTCTGCCGAGGTGGAGGGCTGCAGAGCTGCTTTTGAGTGCCTTGGAGGTAATGAGGGAAGGACTGCACAAAGGCAGGTGCCCTGGAGCCTGGAGAAAGCAGCACTGCTGGGTGGTTGCCAGCCTGCCCCATGTGAGAAGGACTTTGAAGTCTTTTCTGTTTTGGCATGCCTACAAAAATCTTGGCTGATTAGGCCACTGACTCAGAACGAGGACACCGGGATACAATGTGAGCATTGTTCTGCCATTGGCGTGGGATTTATGTGCACAATGTAAATGCTCAAAAGTTAGCGACTTGGAGGAAAAATAAGCAAAATGTTGGAAACGCGTATCTGGGTATCAACTTCATGACCAAAGGTTGGCTGGGGGATGGGAAGAGGAGGTTTAGTGTGCTTTTGAGATCCACAGCTCTAATGTCCTGTTGAACCCCAAACTATCCTTTAGTTGTGCAAGAGGAGGGAGGTTTATTGCCCTCTGGCTCCTCTGTGAGAGGCCTGGGTGTTTCATCCCGCTGATTTGCTTTTAACACCTAGGTTGGGTAACATCACCTGTCTTAAAAAAAAAAAAAAGTATCGTGGCGGCTTTCCTCTATGTTAGAGATTGTTCCCTGCTGGGAGCTTCAAGAGAGCCATCTTGTGCCTGAAGCCTGTCAGTGAAAGCAAAGCTCCTGGGCTTTGACATGCTGCTTTGTAGTCACTTTAAACAGGCGGAGATTGGCAGAGACTTGGGACTTCTTTGGCTTCGGCTTCCCTTTGGAAGGGAATGAAGAATCATCTCTGAATAAGTGCAAAGAAAGGGGGATGAGAAAGGCATAAGGCATCTTCTGTGCTTTGCCGTACACTCATTTGTATGAGTAGGGTGATGGATGTTGCTCGTACGGGGTGTGCTGTATACGGATGAAGGTGGATTTCATCTGCAGCTGGATTTCTCCTTCCAGCATCACCGCTCGCTCTGCAGCCTTATTCAGTGAAAGCCCAGCTTGGGCAGTGAGGAGGCCAGCTTGGTGGCTTAGAAATAAGAAAACCAGCACAAACTTTCTTCTGAGCGTAAGGAGCTGAAAGGAAAGGCTGCTGAATGCCGGGCTGGCTGGCAGCGGAGCAGAGTGGCTGGGAGTGCCAGGACTGGGATTTTGCAAAAGGGTCTGCAGGAACCATAATGGGAAGGAGAAGCTGGACTGCTCCTAGCTCCTTTATGCCCTTTAAAACTGCAGGACTAATTATCGTTCCCATGAGATTTCCCACAAGGGCAGATGCCTTGGGAGGGATGGTGTAAATGCAGAGTGAGCACTTGTCCAGACAAACTCTTTCCTGCCAGGAGAGGCACAGAGGTCAGCATTTTCCTGGCTCGAGTGTCCTCAGAGCCTTGAGTTACAACCTGCTTTGGGTGGTGGAGGGACCAGGACAAGTGCTGGTGGACCAGGTCCGACATCTGCTTGGATGAGGTCAGCTGCGGGGGAGTGGGCACTGCAACAACATGAGACAAGAGGATGGCCCGTGATACAAATCGGGGTCTCTTGAGGACCTCTGTGTTGGGAGAGCAGCACGTAGAAGGCCGACAAGCTGCGGAAGCCTTGAATTTTCACCATGTGTCTGGGTTGTTTCTCTCCTTTTGTGAGGCAGGGTTCTTTCATCTTCTGACTTGGCCTTGGACGGCTCCTTCACCCTTTGAAGCAGCAGGATGAAAGATGTAAGCTGGAGCTAGCCCACACTGGCGGCCGTCCACGTCCCCTCCTACTCCTCATTTCCAAACATGGGGCTGTAATAGCAGCACAAGGAGCAATTGAGTAGTAGTTGTGCATTTAGTACTAGTGGTGAGTACTGGTTTGGTTTTAACTTGTCGTTTGTCTCTGTTAAGATCACAAGTTTAGAAACAGAGTTGCTTGAAGTGCAGAAGAACAAAACTGAGATGAGTGGGGAAGAGCAGCCATCGTTTGGAGCACAAGAGATGCAAGAGGTAAGAGATTTTCCTTGGGAAAGAAATTGTTCTGTTTAGAAATGTATTAAATGAGTATCTCCTGTGAATGTGCTTTGTCACCATCTTCTGAGTATATGTAGCCTGTCAGCTCATGCAAGACAGATGGATGTCTTTGGAGAAGGCAGCTAACATGCCAGTATTATCTCCCTGATAACTCATCTCTGTCTTAGGAGCTTGTCTTGCCTTGAGCACTGCAAGCTGAGGAGCTTGTTCACTCTCACCAGGGAGAAGGGTTTACATGTGTAAAGGTGCTCGACTCTTGTTTAGGGTTTAGCGAAACCTTGGTAGTGCCCAGGTGCATTTACAAGGCTGTTTCCCAGCTGGTTTTGGGCTGACTTTGCAGACGATTTGTGATTTGCTAGCCAGTTGGACCTGCCAGGTGTCTAAGCCAGATGGAACTTGTTACATGTGGGAGATGACGTTCCCAGGGTATCTTGGGTCAGCTGGAGGCTCCAGGCCTTCAGAGATGTCCAGCCAGTCCTGGGTATAAGGTGATGGAATTCTGCTGGCAACTTCTGGGAACCATTTTTCTCATCCTTGTTTTTCTAGAAGACACATTTTCTGTAATTTCTTTCTCTTTTGTTAGAATAGATGATGTCATGGAAGTGACTCTTAATCTCGCTTGTTTTAGATGCTAGAAAGCTGTCAGGAAACAATAGAAAAGTTGGGAAGTCAGCTGGGAGAGCGGAGAGAACGGAGGAAGCAACTTGCATCTGAGCTTGAACTGTTACGAGAAGATCTGAAGGCTGAGAAGGTGGTATTGGGCAGCCACGTATGTAGACCTCTTACAGTGGGACTCCCTGCAGGAGGCAGTTGCCTCTTGTGACTCCATAAAACATCCCCAGTTGCCCTCCAAGTGCGTTGCTTGACTTCTCTTGATGCAGTTCCCTAGTCCAGCCAGTTTGAAAGCTTCTTTGGTAGATGGTTTTAAATCCATCTGTTTTAATGGAACTGTCTCTTAACTCCATAATTGATTTTTTTCCTTTCAGTGAATGTAATAACAAAACACTAATTCAAAGTTTGTAGCCACAGCCCCCTTCTCTAGAGGGCAGAGTGGAAGATTTCAGACTTAGTTATTTATTGCAGAGTTATTTGTGACTGTAAGGCTCATGGTCATGAGCCTTCATCTCTCCGTGTCACAACACATCATAGAATCACAGAATGGTTTGGGTTGAAAGGGACCTCAAAGATCATCCAGTTCCAACCCCCCTGCCATGGCAGGGACACCTCTCACTAGACCAGGTTGCTCAAGGCTCCATCCAACCTGGTCTTGAACAGTTCCAGGGATGGAGCATCCACAGCTTCCTTAGGCAACCTGTTCCAGTGTCTCACCACCCTCAGGGTGAAGAACTTCTTGCTTGTGTCTAGTCTAAACCTGCCCTCTCCCAACTTCCAACCGTTACCCCTCGTCCTATCACTGCAGGCCCTTGTAAAAAGTCCCTCCCCAGCCTTCCTGTAGGCCCCCTTCAGGTACTTCAGGTCTCCCCGGAGCTTTCTCTTTTCCAGGCTGAACAAGCTCAACTCTCTCAGCCTGTCCTCGTAGGAAAGGTATTCCAACCCTCTGACCATCTTGGTAGCCCTCCTCTGGACTTGCTCCAGCAGCTCCATGTCTGTCTTGTGTTGGGGGCTCCAGAGCTGGATGCAATATTTCAGGTGGGAATACATGGGAGGGTACTTGGAGATTTGAGCCAGACCTCCCTGCAGAGCAACGTCGCAGTTATCTGTTAGCAGCAACTGCTTTTCTGAGGTTGATCAACTAGCTAATTCTGAATCTGTTTAACATGGGTCCCCTTTATAGTATCTTCCTTAACCAGAATATGGCACGATAAGAAGTCAGAACACCTAAGAGTCAGAGAAGTCTACACGAGCAGCTTGCTGTGATCCCGGCGCTGCTTTTTGTTATAGGCCCTAAGGACATCAGTGCACTTTGCTTGAAGCAATTTAAGCTGCTAGGTAGTCTTCTGGCGGGTTTATCTCAGCTGGAAGAGTTGCTGGTGCTCTTGTCTTCCAATTGGGCCATAGAGGAGAGAGAGCGTGTGATGCCAGCAAAATTTCAGAAGGGCTAATGCAGGCATATGCAGGATATGGGCTGAAAATGAGTCTAAAAATTTAGGAGACCTGCAGATCTGTGGCCTGGCTCAGGCGGACAGGGGGGACCTGAGGGAGACTGGCAAAGGAGGGGGTTATACCTATTACAAACCCTGTTTTTTAGCACTCTGAGAGGCCTTAGACCAGCAGTGAGACATACCACTTCCTCGAGCATAAGTAAAAAAAACAGTGAAAGTCCTGAACTGTTGGCGCAACTGCACATGCACTAGTGTCTTACTGGAGGAACAGTGGCATCTAGAGGACAGGACTTTTGTAGTGCTGTTAGGCAACAAATTCACATTGTAAAAGCTCGGGATGCAGAGCAAGCCTTGCTGAAGAGCCGTTTAGGAAGGGGCTAGGTCAGTCTATGAACATGCATGTGAAAAGGAATTGTCTGATTTGAGGGATGATGGAGAAAATGGGAAGAATCACTCTTTAACCTTTGCATCCCAATAGTTCAACCTGCTCATGGTCCGGGGACCTTTTAATCAAAGTCGTGCATCCCTGTAAGTTTGGTTCTCATTCAGTCACCAGTTGCCTGGTGGTTTTGCCGAAGGAGAGGACCATTTTTCCATCAAAGGGATCATGAGACAAAATCCAGCGGCCTATGTTAGACTGTAACTGTCTTTAAAACAGAGAACTTTGCATGTGTTTGGTGGGATTCCTGACTTCACAAATGGGCTCATTTCCTTTTGATAGAGCAGCTCTACGGGGATGAATCGTTTACCAACGGAGTGCTGGAAATTAGCTTGGCATGAAATCCTTGGGTTCTCCTGGGTGATCCACACCTGGAGGCCAAGATTTGGGGTTGTTCAATGTTGTGTTTGTCAGGATGTCCAACACATAGAATGGATGAGTAAACTGGGTAATATTTTTGTTCTTCTAAATTTTAATGATGTGTTATGAACTGATGCTGTGCAAGAAGCTCTTTGCATTTGTTTGGAACTCTCTTCTTGTGTTTAAGAGGTTTTTAGACACTTGAGAGGAGAAAGCTTTTTCTGGGCTTGTAGTTAGGGGTGTATTACATCCTTTAACTCCTGTTGTTTCCTCACCAGGGGTTTCCTGACTCAAAATCAGAGTTTACAAATCATTGTAATAACTTCCCGAGCCTCCAAAGAACATCAGCGAGCAGGGATCGCATTAACGTATCCGATGAGAAGCTACAGAAGGATAATGCTTTGTTAGATACAGAGGTGAGAAATGTAAAGAAATCCCCGTTGTTCTCATGTCTGATGCAGACAAAAGCTCCTAGTGTATGTTGCTGAAATGTAAGTAAATGCATCTTGGTGGATATTGATTAAAAAACTTTAGGAATCAAAGTCATTGATAGTGTTTAGTGGGCTTAATAGCATTTTTCTTTGAAGGATTTGGGTTCACCACTGCTTAGCTTCTGGTTCCGATGCAGTCTGGAAGTTTCTGTGTCCTTACGAACTCCTCGTGCCCTCCTTTCTTGCCACTTTTAGTTTCTTGGCATCTTCTCTTCATGTGTCAGGTTTTGGGTCTGCCATTGCCTGGTGTTAAGGCATTGGGTGATGTTGAAAGTGGAGAGCAGCCATCCGTAGAAAGTTGGTTTGGGTTGACTTGGATGGAGGATGTTCTCTGTGTGAGACAGATGAATACACACCTTGTACTCTACCTGTTTTCCCAAGAGTTGCTAGTTTTGTAAAATGATACAGCACGTGATATAAAGCCCTGAGAACGACAGATGAGCAACAGAAGGATGAAATCAAATAAAGAAATGCAATTTGATGATAGTTTACGTGCAGCTACTTCCCACGCAGAAAAAAGGACTTGCGCATGTATCTTCAAGGGTGAAGAACTACAATAATTTAGCTACAGCATGACAAGCCATGTCTTGATGGAGTCCCCAGATTGCCTTACACTGCTCAGAAGGTTTCCATGAGACTAAAGAAAATCACAGTCGTCGTGTTTTCTGACCTTTCTGACAGGTCTCTGAACTCCTACAAGAAAGAGAACAGATTAACAAACTCGTGCAGAAACATGAAGATCTATGTACAGATGAAAAAACACATGAAGAACAGATGGCTAAAGTACTATTTTTGGAAGAACAGATCAAAAACTTGAGGAATGAACAAGAACTGCTCTGGTAAACCTTAACAAGGCCTGTGGTACATTCTGCTCCTTATCTTTGCTGACTAATTTTTTAGTCTTTTAAAAATCCTAGTGCTGCTTCTGGCAAAAATGGGCATAGCAGCTTTGTGTCTTCCTTATCGGGTAATGTTCTCGCTAGAGATTTTGGTGAATAAGCATTTCCCTTAGTGATATCATGATCAGTCAGGAGTAAGTCTCTTTTTCTGCAGCTCTTCCACATTCTGAATGGCATAAATGAGAGCTGTCCTTAGGCAGGAGGCTGCTTCTTTTGGAGTGAGAGGGTCCTGAAAAGCTCCCATCGTGGGCTTGGGCTCCTTGGACTAACTGCTGCCAGCAGCTGGTGATTTACATCTGTTGTGGTTTGAGCCCACCCAGCTGGCTCCACAAGCACCACGCAGCTGCTCGCTCACCCCTGTCCCGTCCCCTGAGGGATGTGGAGGAGAAAATGCAACCAAAAGGGCTTGAGGATCAGGACAAAGGACAGGGAGGGCTCACTCACCAGTTATGGTCGTGGGCAAAAGACAGACTCAGCTTGGGGATAACAATGTACATTGCATACAAAACAACCACCACCATCAAGGAAAATGAGAGATACAGCCAGGTCTTGAATACAACACACCTTCCCCTCCCACCCCTCTGGTCTTCACAGGCTCAGCTCTGCTCCCTCTTTCCCCCCCCAGCAGTGCAGGGGGAAGGGAATGGGGGTTACAGTCAGTCTGGCACAAGATGTTCGGCACTGCTCCTCTGTCCTCAGAGAGAGAGGCCCTCGCAGCCCTCCCCTGCCCCACCGCGGGGTCCCTCTCCCGGCAGACATTCCTCCTCCAACTGCCCCAACACGAGTCCTTCCCGCGGGGCCGCAGCTCCCCAGAGTCCCTCCCGGGGCTGCCGCCCCCCCACA